TCTCTCAGTTCATAATCTTGTGTGTAGACTGTGTTTTTCAAAGGATAGGGTTGTGTATTATTTATCTTTGTTTTCCTAGCACTTAGGTGCTTTAAACAAAGATATTAAAAAGTTTGTTAAATGAACATTTTTCTACATCCTTTGCCTTTGATCATAGCTACAGGCCTCCTTGCCTCGAAATACTGTGCATAACCTCCTCACTTCTTCATCCGTTAATTGCCACTTATAAAGATTGAACACATAAAAACCTGAAAGTGAAGTTACACAGTCACGTGAGCTAAAAATAATAATATCTAATGTGGAGTGAAAGCTTCATAAGCATCACAGCACACTATATTATCAAGGACAGAGCCTTAGAGACAGACTACAGAATGGATATTTCATCATTATGCAATGACCTACATTATATGACCTCTTATTTGTCCCTTAACTCCAACAGCAACCTGAGGCTAATATAAAACAGTGGTGGAAGGGAAAACAGATGACACAAAAAGAAAAGGAGGTTTATTATGGGATCAGTGTAATGATTTGGCTTCATAACATAGACCAGATGGCAATAGCCCCTTTCTCAGCAGGTGGCTTCTCAATGTCCTGTGGGTTGTAAAAAACAAATTCACTATCAACCTCCTCTGCTAATAATTATTTCTGAGTACTGTGGCAGTATCAAAACCATGCTGAAAACACACACAATCCCTCAACACAAGGAGAACTAAATAAATAAACTTCTAAATATTTACTTCTGACAAAAGGAAAATCCTCTTCTGAGAAATGCTGTTACTCAACAGATCCTGGCTTCTAAAAAGCCAGGTATGTTCTCATCTTTTATTTTAAATGAAGAAGATGGCCTTTATTTTACCCAATTTTTTGGCTGTTTTGCAAAAGCCATTGGAAATGCCTGAGAAATGATTGGCATCAGTTTTACTGAGGTTTAATATTTATAGTTGCTAATTCTGTAAAATCATGAACCCTTTTTCTTTTTTTTTCCTTCACCACGCGGCTTGTGGGCTCCTAATTCCCCCACCTGGGATGGAACCCGTGCCCTTTGCAATGAAAGGGTGGTGTCCCAACCAGTGGACTGCCAGGGAATTCCCCATCCTTTAATATTTTTATAAAAATTGTGTATACAAGAATTCGTTTGCCTTCATTTTCCATACCTCCAAAGAAACCTTTCTGGTGTACAAGACAAACTGAATCAAATAGTCTCTGAAAGGTGACTTACCGATTCCAATAAAAAGTGTAATTTGATGACAATTTCTCTTCAATAGTTTGAGACACTTCTAACGAACTACAATTCAGTTGCCTTAACTAAAAGCCTGCAAACTGACCTTTACAAAATTTTCCCAGTAGAAGCGTTCTTTCATTCTAGGAGAGAGAAAAGATCGTACATATGTTACAGCTCTTTATCATTTTACATATGGGCTGAGCGTCATTTTTTAGTGACTTCCCTCCAGATAGTTGGTTGCTCTAATATTTTCCAGAATTGATTCGTCCTTAGGTACCGACTTGACTGAACTATTAAGGCTCACATCAATCCAGAAATTCTGGCTTTAAGATAGGGAAAATGGGAATAGGAACCGCAGAGCAGGCTAACTCCTAGGGACAAGAAACAAAGTTCACCACCAAACGAAGGTCACTCAAGTGCAAACTTGAAGCAGAAAGGCACAAGGAGAGGGAGAAACAAAGTGGCCTCAGCTCGAATCGCATTTAGAGATCTAGAAAACAGACATAACACATCTCAGTTTATAGTCGTTAAATCGGATGATATTCGTGAATGTGGGACTAAGAATCATGCAATATTTGAAAATTAGAAAGGAAACAGAAGTTCTGTAAACCGTTAAGCGAGGGCTGTAAAACCTGAGTAAAGAAAAGGAAGGTCGTAAGGACCCCACCTTCCGGGAGAGTTCCAGTCCGCGTTAGCTGGCGGACTCAGGAAGAGGAGGAAGAAGAGGAGAGAACACTTCAGCGGGACCCTTGGCGCCCAAGCTCCCGGCGCGACTTGGAGCAACAGGCTAACGCATGCGCAACTCCCTGACCTAAAGACGAGGGGGCGCCCCGGCCCTCGTTTACCTAGAGGCGGGGAGGGCGGGGCGAAAACACGTGACCGGGTTGCGGCATTTCTGGCCCAATCTGAGGCGTCTCGGAAAGCGCCCTTGCAGAGCAATTCAGGTGGCCCCTGTTCGTCCGTAATTTCCTGGCTTTTTGACTCCGCTCTTGAATCTAAGAATTTAGTTTGTCAGAACTTTCTTCCGTGTGTTCCGTGAATGAAATTAGTGGCACACTCTAAAGTGACTGGCGCTTTTTATTTATTTTTCTCTGTAACTAGAGTGTATTTCTGTAATTTCAAGTCCTGTTGCTCTCTCCCCAGCACGCTCAGGTCCTCTTCCTACTGCGTGAGACTCCAGAATCGCTGGAGGGCGCCTTTCTGTAAAATCAATCCCCTAGGAAGAGAAAAACTGCTTTATATCTCAGTGGTAGAGGATTAGGGAAATTAAGGTAAAAATTTAAAGAGGCAAGTGTCCCATAGGACTACCACAGATAGCCTCAAAGACATACCCTAAAAGACTACTTTATTTCAATATAAGCATTTAAGTAAAATCTCCCGCTCTGTTTATTCCAGGCTGCTATCAAGAATCTGAAGCAATGATACTGGGATAAGATTACCTGCAAGATGTGGTTGGTTCGCCCCAGAGGAGTGTTACGAGAAACAGGTTTTAGAGAAACTCAGTCTTAAAGCTGGAGTCCTTGAAGTGAGAAGGGCAGGGAGTAAAAGCAAGATGGATGGGGCTGATTTCTAGGGTTCTGATCCATCATGAACTTTTACAGCCCAGGAACCTTGGCATTGGGAAATCAAGCAGTACTGCAAAAGGATAAGATGCCAAATATGTCGAAACAATAAACAAAGGAAATTTCCCTCCACATATCGCAATATGGATAGCTTGGTAAAAATAAGACCCCTCACCTGGAATCCTGTTCAGGAAGAGTTCACTCATTTCCTACAAATAATAAATCCTCAACACTGCAGAAATGAGTTTGTTCATAACTCAGAATATTCTCAGAAAACGGGGGCGGGGTGCACAGCTAAAAGCTCTGAACCTGCACTGGCTTTTCTGCTAGAGTTGCAGCGTGATGGTAATTGCTGCTTCCCTTGCAGACACTAGCTTCCTCTGTTGCTGCTGTCATTGGTTCTTAAGAAATATAGTTGCTCCAACTTCAGTTCCTTCCATGATACTTACAGATTCTTCTACCAACCCTAGTATTCCTCAGACACAGCTGTCTATATGAATGACATTGAGCTCCATTGAGTACACTGCTACTGGCTTCTTGGTGCCAAGAGATGACTGTGGGAGAAAATGCCTTCCAGTGGAGAAACCCAATAGCCTCTGTGAGTTAATTCTGGAGCTGTGGAGTGAGTCTAACCAGGAAAAGTTACAACTAAAGTGGAGGGCACAGGTCATGGCCTTCATCTGCAAGATGGTGCCGTCTGAGTATTTAATAGGAGAATCAGAGAAAATAGGGAACTGTTTACAAAGTCACTTCTTGAACAGCTAGAATGAGTTGTTTTCACCAGTGTTGTGTGCCTATTTGGTGGCGTCAGTATCGACAAGTAATGTGGATGTGTCCATTTTATAAGTAACCAGGTACAAATGATGCCTCAACAAAAATCTAAATTATTTGTAAATATAACGTTGAAAGTCATACTTGCTTCTGATTCCTACTCAAGCAGAACTGCTGTCATGGGCTAACCCTGCTTCAGGGTCTTACCACCCAAAAAAGTGGCTAGATTTGTATAAAAGTATTTTACCAATATATAAAGCCTTTTTAAAGATTCTCCTGGAAATCATTTTGTAATTTCCATTTTGTGGTAGAACCTGTTCTCCTTCAAGTTAGGGCTCTTCATTAGACTAGTAGTAACACAAGTAGCTGCCTCAGGCCAAATTACCCAAGCCTGGTTCTCAAATCTTAGGCTGATCAGTACATGAAGAAGGAATACAGTAGTAGAATGCTATTATTAAGCAACAGCTGCAGAATATCATTGCATCCAGTACTAGGAACAACAGAGGGGAAATTTTCAGCAACAGGGAGAATAAATGTCACGTGTTCCAAAGCCTCTCTTTAAAATATAGAACAAGGAATAAACAATACTTAAAAGTATTTTTGAATCACAATCTGTCACAGAATTGCTTCTTTACCTTCACAATCTGTCACAGAATTGCTTCTTTGCCTAACACCTCCACCAAAAACTTTTAGTGTATTTCTACCATCTTCTTTAACCAAGAGGGGAAAGGCTTTGAATATTTTAAGCCATAAAACCAAAAAATACCATACTAATTTCAATAAATAATTCCTGCAGTTGAAATATACTTCAATATTTTCCATCTGTCAGGAAGCAGAATTCCATAATTAAAATACCCTTTCGATATTAAACTGTAAAGCAATCATGAAAACATTACTTAACATTACACTTATGCCTTGACTTTATAAAATAGATTCCAGAGTTGTCTACAAATGAAACATTTTAAAAATCACTTATGACAGGAAAGCCAAAATGAGAGCAGAAAAAAAATGTTTGAGTCAGGTTGGATTTACTCAAGGTTAACATGCAAGAATTATTTATACTTACATTACCTAAGGACTCTGAAGGTAAACATTATACAGTATTAATGGAGACTTTGCACTCATTTTAGAAAACTATTTGGTGTACAAGAGGTTTATAATCACTTTAGTTAACTATAGATATAGTTACTTCAACTGTAGGTAATAAGTTATTACTTCAAATCAAAATACAAAAAGTACTGGCTCAATCTGCAACTCAAAAAGGAAAATCAATTTTTTCTGCTCTTTGGAAAAAAAGTTAGTAAGCTGATGAGTTAAACTATTACATTGTAGTACCTCATATCACATCCAAGCGTTTGAATGTTAACTTTCAAGCTGATTCTGTTTCTAAAAAGACCTTCATAGCCCCCAACGGTGGTGTTCAAAAAATGAATGTCATACAGTGAAACTAATCATTAACAACAAATCTTCAATTTATTTGAAGCAATTCGGTTTCAAAAACTTTAAGTTACAGCAGTCACAGAAAAAAAAACACGGAACAGTCAGAAATAATAAAATAATAATGAGGAGTACTGCATTTTTTTGTTTTTAACACTGTCATGGCTTTATTCAAAACACAGTTGCACAAAAGTATTAACTTCAAAGTTTTTAAGGAGGGTTTTGAGGAATTCAACACACTATATACATACTGCCATACAAAGAGCATTAAAATAGGACCAAAAACTTCTACAAAATATAAAACCCACCCTTACTTATTTGCATGAAAATACCACCCACAAAGCTAAGTAAGTCTTAAAAAGGTTTTTGGAGGCTCTAAGTGTTGTTTTCAAACCAAAGAACTCTCAGGTTGATTGCACAATAAGATGATTGATAAGAAAGTCAATATATAGATTTAACTTTTAAAATAAGTATTTTATAATCTGGCATACTATGCAATGAGAACCCTTAACGGACTAAAACAGGGCATTATAATTGTTAAAAAGGAGTAAAATGTTAGCCTTTTGGAGATTCCAATCCCCCCACTAAACTTATCCCAACAGTTTTATTTCAGTCAGTTATGCAAATTTTTTAGTTTATCCACAAATAACTTCATCATTTTTTACTTTAAATCCCCAAGTCATACATTTTAAACCAAAAAAGAAGCAATACTATATTCAGTAATTTAAATGTGTCCCAGTACGAAAGTGTAACTTCAATTAATTTGCTGATACTAACTTTTTTAAAACTTACAAATATTCAAAACAAAGGGGAAAAAATTTTTAGATAGCCAAGATTAAGAAAGCAATTGCCTTGAACATGGAGCCTCCACAACAAAAAAAGGAGATGTACTTGCCTACTCATAATATTATATTTAGTAGCTGTATAAGGAAACACACACTCACAGTTATCCCAAATATTTTTCTATTTTTAATGGACATCCACCTGAAACCAAATCTTAATTTTAATATTGATTTAGTTTCAAATATTTTTCCAACTGTCCAGTGTATTTCAATTAAATGCTATATCTGGTAATGCTTTAAAACTATAGAAAGAATAATTAAAGGTTCTACTCAGGAAAATTAGAAATACTTTGCAGAGTGGTATCTAAATCACTTGGGAAGCTAGTCTGATTTGAATGTCTCATTAATTATCAACAGGCAATTGTTCTGACTTTTGAGGAACACACATGCTGCTTCCAAGAGCCTCCTCTGCTTCTTTTCTTTCTTCATCCTCCTAATACAGTCTGTACATCTTGTCAAGAAAGAGATTTACAGTAAGCAGAGTCTGTTGCATAAAACTGTATTGATAATAATATTCCTATTTCAGAAAATACTCAATTTCTTTCACTTAGCTTGTTTAAAGCTAAGACAGGTCTGAAAAGGTGGTTGAGGTATAAGACAAAGTCATCTTGGGTATCCATAAGTTTCCCAACTCTTTTTTGAGAAGAGGGGAGTGAAACAAGAAAGGAAGGTGATAATAAAAGAATCACTGAGAGGAAAACAAAGAATGCACACTTAAAACAAAATAACAACCGTTGGCAGGTCATGATCTTCGACTTGAAGAAAGGGCTCTCCTACATGTCTCTGAAATCAGTATAAGCAATTTTTCCTTGGAAACTAAAATCTTCTTAGTCACCTGGCTTAAAAGGTTTTAGAAGCCTTCACAAAAGCCATGAACTATATTGTTGAATAGAACCTTTACTATTCTGCTCCTACTTTCCAAGCTACTCATGTGACAAAAAAGCACCCAAATACCCTCAACCAAAAAAAAAAAGTCACTGCCTTCAAACTAAAGATCTCTGGGTTGCCTCTAAAAAAATAACCAACTTATAATTCAAGAGACTATTTTCATTCCAGATTCCAGCCAACTGTGATTTCAGTTAATTTATAAATAACTTTAAAATCCTATGAATGAAATGCACCATATTACGCCTGTGTAAAAGCAATCATGTTTTAATTATACTAAAAATGACTAACACAGTGAACTTTAATTAGAAAAATTAAGATTCTAAATAAATTGCTAGGGAATTTCACAATGGGGTCAATGAAAATTTGTCTCTACATACAATATGATCATTAACAGACTAGTTAATCTTATTTGGAATGGTAAGGCAAAAATAGTAAAACCACACTTTTCCTATAAAAAGTTACACATTATCTTCTGTAGGGATAGCTATCGTACATGAAGAAACAAAGAAGATGTGATCACTCTATTGCACACCCAGGAACATTAGGGAATCTGGTCTTAGAATGATCTAGTCATCTTCTTCCTCTCCATCATCTTCAGCATCTCGTTTCCTCTTTTCCCCTCGAAGACCTTCTTCTTCTGAAAGAGTAAAAGGAAAACTGTAAAATAATTTTAACAAATGAATATTTGTTAAGCTACAGAATTTTGAATCTTAGTGAAAAGTTAATGGTGTATGAAAATTATAGGTTAAGTTTCTCCTCTGCATTACTTTCAATTTCAGTATTGAAACAGCCTTAATAGACTTAGAAATCCACAAATAATGACAGCTTGCTATGCGCCTTAATAGACTTAGAAATCCATAAATAATGACAGCTTGCTATGCACCCTTGTGGCCAAATCATGAAGTACAGGTCAAGAAACCAAGGGCTTGACATCATTGGAATTGCTAGTGAATTTTTAAATTTCTTGAAAGGCCTAGGTAAAGAAAGGCAGAGAGCAAATCTAAAACGGGCATTATCTGGAGTTCAACTGTTCTTCTCTTATAAGTAAGGTTTCACCCCCTCCAAAATGAAAGGCCCTAAGAAAATAATAAATTGAGCTTATGGTTCCATTATCTCTTCATTCCTGTTTAGAAAATAAATGTTACAAGCTGTTTTTTTTCTTTTAAATGGAATTAATGAATACCCTGAGAAAACTCCTCTTTAAAAAAGGTTTTACACCAAAAAAAAAAAAAAGGTTTTACAGCTTTCAAGGAATTCTATTATATGTTACCAACATCAAAGAGATCAGTGATAATTTGAATTATAGACTCATTCTTTAAAATCCATGAATAATAGCTTTTTAGGATCTTTGAATGGCTAATGTAACTCACCCTCTTCTTCTTCTTCCCCTTCTTCAACATAGTCATCATCATCTTCTTCATCCTTGAGATTCAAATATTCAGTTTGAATATGATGCAAATGAACTTATTTTCGAAACAGAAATAGACTCACAGACATAGAAAACAAACTTACGGTTACCAAAGGGGAGAGGGGGTGGGGGAGGGATAATTAGGAGTTTGGGATTAGCAGATACAAACTACTATATATAAAATAGATAAACAACAAGGTCTTACTGTATAGCACAGGAAACTATATTCAATATCCCGCAATAAACCATAATGAAAAAGAATATGTATATGTATACATATATATGTATAACTGAATCACTTTGCTATATACCAGAAACTAACACAACATTGTAAATCAACTATACTTCAGTTAAAAGAAAAAAATTCAGTTTGAGAATAAATAAGCCATGACATGGGCTATTCACTGTTTGATAATAATACATTCCAATAGGAGCAAAAACTATGGTCATCCTGTGTTCTGACAACCTCTGCCTCACTTACAGAGGTCTTTTTTAAAAACCCAACTAAATCTAGTTTCTTCATGAAAACAAGTTATGTTTGAGACCAGCAATGTTCAAAAGAACTTTCTGCAACAATGGAAATGTTCTGTACCTGTGCTGTCCAATACAGTAACCACTAGCCACAGGTGGCTCCTGAGCATTTGAAATGTGACCAGTGCAAATGAGGAACTGAGTTTTAATTTTACTTTACTTTAACTAAATAAACAAATGTGCCCGGTGGCTAATGGACAGAGTAACTTTTGACTATTTCAAAGACACAGTCTTCTGTTTTATAGACTGAGGAAGGATCACCTGAATCTTAGCCTGAACATAGCTACACGTGTTGAATAAGTCACTTAATCTCTCTGGACCTTAGTTTTCCAATCAATGAAGAAAGTATTCATCTAGAAAGATCTCTAAGTTCCTTCTACATCTAAAAATCTACACATCAAAATAGCAAATGTCAATAAATATCACAATAAAACTTGATCTACAACCCCTGTGGAATGAGTTGTTCTGGATAGCTAAGATTTAAACATAGCCTTGAAACATCATAACCATTTATTTTTTAATTTAGCCAACTGGGATAAAATCTCTAAAGTACTTCTACCATTTTATGCTAAACGTAACAAATCTTTTTCTTGAATTGTCATAGTCACCATTGTGACCATGAGCAGTACACTAATTAGTATATGCCAATTCTCTCAAAGCCTATTAATATATATAAGACGGTTTTCTCCTTTTTAAAATGACCCTGGCCTCTACTTTGAGTTGTATCTTTCCCTAGTTTTTATGCCTTCTCTTTTGCAGTTAGTTACTATTTCAATTTTAATCTGCTATGGATTCAGAAAATAGATCAACAAGCTTACCAGAACTGAATATAAAAGAGAAAACAGGATTAGAATAATGGCTTGAATACTCTCCTACAAAGAAAATGTCTTTTGTTACGTATACCTTTTACAGTTACCGCCTTGTGCTTGGTTGTGTTCCAAATGGTTAAGTTCTAATAGATGTTTGAAAAAATGGAATCAAGCTAGGGGTTGATTGGAGGGTCCCCCCTCCAACCCCAAAATAGTTTACCCCTCCTTAAAAATAGTTTTAATGGCAAATGTTAAGAACTGCTGGGTAGTGAGGAAAAACCTGGACAACCCACACTTTTCAAAGTATCCACAGCTCTATTTGTGTCTAGAAATATTAAACAGAACCTATTTTTCCAGCATTTAGCTTAAAGCCCCTGAGAAACTAAACTGCATGACACTTATATCAGAAATCATTCTTATACAGTCAATTCAAACATGAAAACATTCCATACCAGAACACCCAAGCTGCCAGGAGCATAAGCAATAGATGGGGTAGCAAATAAACTAAGGAACTATAGTAAAAATCAGGAGAATGTGTGGGCTTACATTTAAAGAAGAAAAGAAAGGAAGAGAAGAGGGGTAGAGGAGAGAGGGGATGGAAGAGTGGGGAAAGAGAGAGGAAAAGAAGGAGAAAGAAAAGGACATTTTAAGCATTTCAAATCTGCAAGGAATGATAAATGAGGGTATTTAAATATTTATAATTTTTAAAAAGCCACTTGAAATACTAATCACATTTATTCATGATAATTTAGAAAAGCCCAAGTCTAAAAAGCAAATTACTTCTCTGGATTTTGTTTTAAACAAAACATGATTAATCAATTCATGTTTTTATGCCTTTTTAAAAAAAATATCATCTATTAGATTACCAGAGACTTGCTCTGTAAAGATTATGGTCTTAGTTCCTAACTAGTGGGTAATAAAATGTTTCCTCATTTGTACTATGAATAGTGCAAGAACACCATAATTCCCAATTCTTCTAAAGCCCCCATCTCCATTTTTAATGAAGTATACTACACATACATAAGTCCTTCTTTATACATATTAATTCCTTACCTCTGAAGAGCAGCTGAAATAGAAACAAGACTCAAACAAAACAGAGCTAATCAAATACCATTTCTATTTCCTTCTAATTTCTTCTTTAAATCTTATAGTCTCTGAAGTTTCTCTGGCTCTTAGTTTCTAAAAACAAGGCTTCGGGCTTCCCTGGTGGCGCCGTGGTTAAGAATCCACCTGCTAATGCAGGGGACACAAGTTTGAGCCCTGGTCCGGGAAGATCCCACATGCCGCGGAGCAATTAAGCCCATGTGCCACAACTACTGAGCCTGCACTCTAGAGCCTGTGCTCTGCAACGAAGAGTAGCCCCTGCTCGCCGCAACTAGAGAAAGCTGGCGTGCAGCAACAAAGACCCAATGCAGCCAGAATACATAAAAATAAAATAAATAAATTTATCTTTAAAAATAAAAACAAGACTTCATTTTAAAAAACATCCAAATTATCTCCTCATGATTGAAAACTTCTGGTCCCAGCTACCACATTGACTTAATGTTGTATGTATTATCTTAGAGATGTTTGATCTATACTCCACATCATTTTTAGTTAATATTTTCCAGTACTCAATGGAATGATAAACATTTGCAGTTAGCTGAAGGTCATTTTTAAATGACTTAATACTATTTAAAGAAGAATTACTGGCAGAGAAAATAAAAAGTCAATTGCAGGGAATTCCCTGGTGGTCCAGTGGTTAGGACCCTGTGCTTCCACTGCAGGGGGCATGGGTTCGATCCCCGGTCAGGGAACTAAGATCCCGCAAGCAGTACAGCACAGCCAAACAAACAAACAAACAAACAAAACAAAACAAAGTCAAACTGCAAAATAACAAGTCCATTATTTTACTAAGTAAATTAAAACTTAGGGGAAAAATATTCAAGTTGTATGCTGATGTAAACTGAATAGGTTGCCTTTCTCCCTGAATACTTAAAATACTTAAAAGTTCTGTTCTTCATTATTGTAAAGCTAACTCACGAAAGCCCCAAACAAATTTAAGTCCCTTTTTTTCTACACTAGTTTCATATTTAAAATTGTATCAGAGGGCTTCCCTGGTGGCGCAGTGGTTGAGAATCTGCCTGCCAATGCAGGGACACGGGTTCAATCCCTGGTCTGGGAAGATCCCACATGCCGTGGAGCAACAAAGCTGGTGCGCCACAACTACTGAGCCTGTGCTCTAGAGCCCGTGAGCCACAACTACTGAGCCCGCATGCCGCAACTACTGAAGCCCGCACGCCTAGAGCCCGTGCTCCACAACGAGAGAAGCCACCACAGTGAGAAGCCCGTGCACAGCAACGAAGAGCAGCCCCCGCTCACCGCAACTAGAGAAAGCCTGTGCACAGCAAAGAAGACCCAACACTGCCAAAAATAAATAAATAAAATAAATAATAAAATTTTTTTTAAAAATGGTATCAGAGAAACATCATCATTAATTAGTGATACTGTCTATCTAACTAGTGTAAAAGTCATTAGGAGAACAAATAAAAATACAATTTCTTGTCTAAATAAGAGATGTTATTTTAATAATAAATATTACTTTAAATTATGAATTATGAAAACAAAACTCAATAATTTAACATTAGGAGAAAATAACTTATCTAAACTCCCAGGGACTAAAGATCATTTGTTCAAGTCAACTGATTTCCTGTGAACCTACTATGTCCCAGTCAATGTACTGGATGCTGAGATAGAAAAATGAACAGCCCTCCCCTGAAAGAGCTATCTAGTAGAAAGTGGCCAAATAAACAAGTTTTAACAGAAGTGTCTACAGGCAACAGACACCTAATCAAGGTTCAAAGGTAACAGAGGAAGGAGTGACTGTCTCTTAAAAATTACAGAAAGCTTCAATAATGAGGCAACGCCAGAGTTGAGTGTTTAAAGATAAGAATCACGAGGCATGATTTGAGTGGTAGTTACACAAGTATGTACATATATAAAATTTCACGGAGTTGTACATAAAATCAGTCCACTTTACATGCTTTAGTATATTTATGTTTACCTGAGAAAAAAGAAAGTAAAGTTCATCAGAAGGCATGGGTAGAAAGTCATTTCAGATAGAGTAAACAATGTGTATACAGACAGAAAGGCAATAATAGCTTCGTGTGATGATTTAATGTGGTATTGAGGGAGATGAAGCTAGAGAAGGTAGCAGAGGTTAGATAATGAAGGGCCTTGTATGTCTTGGTGGCAACAGGGAAACATTAAAGGGTTTCAAGCAGGCCAGTGATATGATCACATTTGCATGCAGACTACACAGGCAAGCACTATGGAGGATACAACAAAGTGGTGACGCTGTTCTCAAAGAGACCATTTAGAAAACTACTAGAAAAGCATAAGCAAGAAATAATTAGGGGAAAGTTTTCATGAGTGCCTATAACGTGCCAGCAACTAGATACTTTACACATATTAGTTTGTTAAATCCTTAACGACCCTATGAAGTTGGTATAATCTCAGTTTTATAAATGCAGAAACTGAGGCTCAGAAACATTTGTAAAATGTTTCCACTGTCCCATGCTGCTGAGGGAAGAACCGATTTGAAAGCTATCTAGGAGGTAAAATCATAGGGTTTATGATTATCTGGATATAATATGAACTGAGGGGCAGTGGGAAAAAAGATAGGCACACACACACACACACACACAAGTTAGAAACAACTCTGATTTCTACACAGCTTACTTTTTATATTACTTAACCCTATGCCTAAACAGTTAATTTTCAGTGCACATAAGAAGGTCTATTCACCTGAATTTCTTCTTTCATTAAGTATGAGAGGCCCACCTCCTCTTCTCCCTCTCCCAGTTCTGAGCCTGCTTCATCTTCATCCTCATCCTCATCCTCGTCCTCCTCCTCCTCTTCCTCTTCCTCATATCCTTCAGGTGGACCAGCTTCATCTTCCTCTTCCTCTTCATCATCTTCATCTCCATCTTTAAAAATATTTTAAAAGATAAGCAAATGTCCAGGCAAATGTTTTTGCCTTGGCCCCTCAAACTCGTAAGCCAATGGGTAGAAAGTATATCAAAGTGACTTTTTTTTTTTTTTAAGATTTCTCTTTTATAACATCCCATTTACTGTTTGAGAAATATGGTGTCTAAATACTAAAATTTTCCCAACGTATAGATTTTTCATCAAAATATTACATGGACTAAAGTTTATTTTACTTTGTGGACACTTCAAAATCTGCCTGTCCATCATTCCATCATTTTATAACACTGTTTATCTATCAAATTCTTCTTACATGTGAAAAACTTTTCAACCAGTATTAACAGTGTCCCATTACTGACAACAGCTTTTCTGTCATCAGATCTATTAGTCACCCATTTATCCAAAAATGTATATTCAACTCTCTAGAGCATTTCCATCACCACCACCACCCCCCAAAAAAAAACATATCCATTAACAGTCACTCACCACCCTCCTCTCCCACAGCCCTGACAACCATTAATCTACTTTCTGTCTCTATGAATTTGCCTCTTCTGGGCATTTCATATAAATGGTGTCATACAATATGTGGCTTGAGTATGGCTTCTTTCACTTAGCAGAATGTTTTCAAGGTTCACACACTATAGCATGTATCAGTACTTCAATCATTTTTGTGGCTGAATAATATTCCATTGTATGGATTTATCACATTTTGTTCATTCATCAGTTGATAGACACTTGGGTTGTTTCTACTTTGTGACTTGTATGGATAATTATGTGATGAATGGTTCTTTTTTTTTTTTTTAGTACTATTTTAAAAGTTACCACTTTTACTGGGTGGTGGTTAAGTTTACAGAAATATAAAATTTCATGGAGCTTAATATTATAACAATCATTAAATTCCCCAAAGCTATCAGAAATCTGAACGAATACAGGACTAGGGCTATAAGTTTTTAAATTTTTGTCTTACTAACGTCTTTTTTTCCCCACACCTAAATACCCAGGCCCAATCTAATCTGCCAGCTAGACTGGAGGCTATAACTGTGACACATTTATGAGTATTAAGAATGATTACCTTCATCATCCTCTTCTTCTGAGTCTGGTGCTTCATTATCCTCCTGGTCAAATCCATCTAAGTACGTGATTTGCTGTAGCAGTTCAAAAATACTTTCTCTATAATCTTCCAGGTTTGTGATCTCACAGTTAAACAAGTCAAGACTCTTCAAATTTTTAAGATTTTGCTGGAAAAGTAAAAAGTTAAAAATTACATTCAAGATTTAAAAACTCACGTTATTTATTTTTAATTCATGAACCAGAACATGTATACAACTTTAAATCAAGAGAATGATTTTTGGATTTTTAGAATTTTATAATGAAGGGTTATTATATCAAGCACAGCTAATTCTCTTAATGAGGCCCTGGCACCTAAACTCCATGGGAGTAGGAACTTTGTTTTGGCAACTGCTGTATCTCTAGCACCTGGCTTAGTGCCTTACTCATAGTATGCACTCAGTATACTTTGTTGACTGAATCTGTGCCTAAATAGGCAACAACAATAACATGGTTAGTTTAAATCCACAGTCAAGCTTATTTTCAACAATTTCAACCTCCTCCCAAGCTTTTTTGAAAAAATCAGAGCAACAATTTTCAGAGTTTCACTTCATCCCCTTTTCCTTCCCTCATACCAGGAAACAAAGGAGCAAATAAAAATAATCAAGAAGAAAGAAAAAGGAATAGAATTTAAGAAAATACTGGAAATTTTAAAACCAGATATTCAGCTCCTGAAGTTGATGATAAAATAAATTTTTCACTGATTTAAAAATTTATCTGGGGCTTCCCTGGTGGCGCAGTGGTTAGGAATCCGCCTGCCAATGCAGGTGACACAGGTTCGAGCCCTGGTCTGGGAAGATTCCACATGCCACGGAGCAACAAAGCCCATGCGCCACAACTACTGAGCCTGCGCTCTGGAGCCCGCGACCCCCCCCCACCCCCGCGCACCTAGAGTCCGTGCTCCGCAACAAGAGAAGCCACCGCAATGTGAAGCCCGCGCACCACAACGAAGAGTAGCCCCCGCTCTCCGCAAGTAGAGAAAGCCCGCGCGCAGCAACAAAGACCCAACGCAGCCAAAAAACATAAAATAAAATTGTAAAGTAAATAAATTTATTTTTTAAAAATTTATCTGAATGTTTTACTCCAAAGGAAAATAAAGCAGTATCATCTAGATCACGACATATAAGAAATTCAGAAGTTTCAAATGAGTGACATAAATACAAGTCAGTAAGATAAAATTCAAGCAAATCTCAGAAAAATTCAACCAAAAAAAGCAAGTCCAGAGGCAAACCTTTCCACTTACCAGAGCTTCTACTGTACTAAGATCTTTGATTTTGTTTCCACTCAAATTGAGGTAGGTAAGGTTTGGACATTTCTCTGCCAGGACTTCCAAGCCTCCCGAAATTATATTGTCACTAAGTTCCAACTATATATTCAACATGGGGAGAAAACAAAGAATGGTGAAGGCTTAGGACACATCAAAGATTTCTCAAATGTATCAATTTTAAGAAGAAAACAATTGTCATTCTCTCTGGCTTCAAGGGACTGTCACAGTCTTTAATTTCCAAAATCCCACCTATGACTGCCAAATAAAATATTAGAATCTCTATATAACAGACTTCTAACTCAGGTTTGGTTCCAGTTGTATAATAGTTGGATTTTATGTTTCAAAGAAAAACATTTGGTAGATGTTAAATTCATGCCATAAAGCGATTTCATTAGTCAATTTAAATTTCCAAAAGTAATATGACAGCTGATTTCAAAACCCTACAAAACCCCATTTTCCTACCTCTAGAAACTTAGAACCTTCTAATTAAAATGCAGAATGGTTGTTTCATTTGGGAAAAAAATATACATAATAGCCCACGGCATCAAAATCATGATGCTTTCACGCCTAGTGCCAGCTTACCTTTCGAAGTTTATTTAAGCTGGGCAGCCGGGCCAGTGAACTTAGTTCCACATTAGCCATACTCAGAAACTCTAGTTTTTTAAAAGTATCATTCAGGCCCTCAATTTCCCCATTGACACAGAGGCAATTATCAAGGACCAACTCTGTCACCTATAAGAGAGAATATGAATGATTCTTTAGTTTGCAGTCTGTTTAGCAAAAGACCTGGGTCCTGACACTCTGGAAATGTGAATATTAAAACCACCAATTCCCTCATATAGATCCTTTTCATTCTCCCCCCAAATTGAAATACAGTCTTAAGTCATCATTATAAGTTAACTTTTTAAATTTAAACTTGGACTAAGAAGTTCAATGCCTGCTTCAAATCACGAATAAAAAAATTTTAATTGCATAAAAATAAGACTTTGAAAAAGGTCCCATGTGAAAATTGTTTCTGACCCTCATGAAAAAGACCCTCAACATCAGGGCATATATTTATGCATGAGGGGATACCAAGGCTACTGAGAAAGGATTTAAGTGAGTCCTAAAACAGCAGGGAGAAGAAAGGAAATTGTTTTATTCACTTTTTCAGTTTAAACCCCCTTATTTTGGTTGATAAATGTCACCAAAACTCAAAAATACCTTGTTACCCTTCATGAAGAAATGTTAGAAAGCTCCTTCTGAGACAGCCCAGCATTCATATGTTATTTGTTCTAATATCGAGGTGAAACAATATCACCCAGAACAACACATCCTTGACAAAATGCTATTTTTCCCTGCCACCCTGGTAGAATTTTTGTGACTTCTCCCCAGTCTTGGGAAGGGGTTGCTGGATCCTCTCTTAGGTCAGAGTTGTAACAAAACTTTCTGGTGTGGGCCTAAATGGACTTAATCTTAAGAGGGAGGCAGGAAACCCTGGCTCTCCATTCTCAATGCAAAAATATGTTTGAGGTATTTTGAGAAATAAAAATTAGCAACAAGGAATGCTACCTTCTCTATTTGAACATGACATAATTATTTCAGGAAGCAAAGAAGGCATCATAATCTGTTTAGAGAGGAGGAAGCCAAGGCCCAGAGGGTAAGAATGACTGCCTAGGGTCAGTCACAGTATGTGGCAGAGCTGTGCCTCCACTTTGTCTTCTGACTCCTAGTCTAGCGGAGTGGAGAGAGGGCCACTAGGTTTGGTGTCAGAAAACCAGTTCTTCCACTTGAGTAAGTAACTTCACTGCCCTGAGACTCCTTCTGCTAATTTGGATTCTACAACAATACCATCCACCTTACAAGTCTGTCGGAAGGAGGAAGCAACAAACACGAAAAGTGCTTTGTAAACTGTAAAGGGCTATACAAATAGAAGACCGTTATTACACCACAGGGGAAGGAGGAGAGGCTGCAAAAAGGCAACATCCGGCACTCCCCAAAACTGGCAAGGAAATTACTAGGGATAGGATAGGTATAAGAATGGGGAAGGAGGGGCAAACCCACTTTTCCAACCCAAGACATAAAAGAGTATTCGAAATGTGTGCTTCTTTGAGGCAGCATTTTAACTTTGATTTTGTTTGTTTGTTCCTTAAGCCCCTAAAGACTAGGCCCTAGGAAACTTCAAGTTATCTGTGGGATGACAGTAGTGACTGTTTCCTCCTCCCTGCTATCTACCAATTTCAGCAAAACAGAGACTTTTTTAAAAGTACATAAAGACCTTGGATTCCCACCCTTCACGCCGCCACAGCCCACCAAACAGACCCTACTCATCCTCCACGCTGGTATGCACAAGCACCACCTCCACCCCTGCTGGAAAAAAATTATATCCCTTATATTGCAATTCTGGGGTTTATTTCAGAGGTCGCAATCAGCAAGACCCTATAGACATTTTCCTCTGCGACCAGAAATGCGAGGTTCCTCGTTGGCCATGGGCCCCGCTCTCGCGACCTGCCGCTCCGACCGACGGGAAACCCCACAAGGGGCGGGGACTCCCCAAGGAAAAAGGGGGTCGCCTCCCAGCCCGCGTTCCCCTAGCGCCTCCGCCCCGGGCGGGGAGAGCTGGGTGAAGCCGAGGAGGCGCCCGCGAAAAGGAGGCGGAAACGCCTCCCGCCCGACCCCCGAAAAGTTGACCACGACCCCGCCTCACGTGGCCCCTCCCAACCCCGTCTCTTTAACTAAGGCGACAGCAGCGAGAGCGCATCATTTAGTTTCGCCGAGCCCATCTTGAAAACACGAAACTTCTACGACCCATTTGTTAAGTTTTGTGAAACCGTCTCCAGGGATCAAAATTGGAGTTGCAGCCACCACGATACGACACGCCGAATTTCGTTACACCGCGGGGGGACGAAGGGGATAAAGCCTCGTGTCCTCTCCCCACCTTCGGTCACTGCGACGAGTCCCAAAACTTACCCGCGGCCGAAGAACGGGCCGCTGACCCAGATTCCGCCTGGCGGCGGGCGGCGCGCACCGCTTCCCGGGGGAGTGGGCGCCGCCAGCAGTGGGCCGTCCGCGGACTCCGCGAGCGACCCCAGCCCGCGCCCGGCGCGACGTCGTCCAACGCCCAGGGGACTCGAGGCCGGAGACGCCCCCCAGCCCAAAAAAAAGAGTTGGCAGCACTGCAGAAAAGTTGGACTAACTTCTCAGGCGACGATGGCTGCGGCAGAGGCGAGTGGGACTGGGGGGTCGCGCCCACGCCGCCGGCCCCAAGGAGCTGGAACGTGAGGAGCGAAGCGGCCGAGCGGCCCCCAACACCCCGCTTCCCGCCTCCACGAGGCCAGGACGTCTGACTCGAGGAGAGGAGAAGGGGCTAAGCCCCCAAGCACACACAAAAACGCCCCTAGAAACTTAAACCCTTCGCCATTTTAAGTAAAAGATTTTAATGATTTAAAAGTTAAAATTAAATATTTTCCCCCAGCCCTACCCCCAGATGGGGGTTAATTCATTACCCCGCCCCACACACCCACCAGGACCCCCAGAAACCCGATCCTCCGAATACAGGGCTGGTGAGGAAGGGGAGGGGGCTGAGTCATCTCACCTCCTCCGGGGCTCTGTCCCTTAACTCCAGGTTAATCCTCTTCTTCATCTCCATGTCCTCCTCCTGCTCTTCTGCTACTACTCTCCTCCCTTACCTTTTCCTGCCTTTCCCACTACCCCCAACCCTAAAATTTTAAAAGATTTGGAAATGAATGAAAAGAAATGCAAATATAAACGCCCACCACCACCACCAGATAGGTGTGGGGGAGAAAGAAGGGAATAGCAAATGGAGTCCAAGGAGTTGGGACTCTAACTCAGCTGCCCCCACCTTCTTGTCCACACACTCGCGCGCGCACTCACACGCACACACATACACACACCCGCAGTTCCTTCCCCTTCAATGGCTGCTCGGAGACTGAGCCTCCATGACACGGCACCGCCAACCCCCTGGCCTACACTCCACCCACCTCCCGAATGTATTGGTTGATTCTTCAGCATCTCACTACTCCATTGGGTTACATAAATGTCTATCAGTCTTTAGGGAGGACCTGAGCCAGAAACACTGTGCCTATTGGCTACGACCAAGCGCGCAGTTAACTCCGATAGGTCCAGGAAGGTGTTCGTCCCGGGGAAATGATTTTGAATCCCAATAGCCCCCCTCCTTTTCTTTGTGTGATTGGCGCGCTTTCTCTAGGCGACAGTACGGTTTTGAAGCCTGTTGGGTTTCTTTTTGTTTTTGTTTTACCTGATTTTAGTGTTAAAGGAAGGAAGAAAGCATCCTTCTTACGTGTGGAAGTTGCGAGACAGATAATTTAGCACACGGCACCCACCCCGCTCTTGGCGGTTTTAAAGCACAGCTCCTGCTTTGCAGCCAAAGTGTACAGCAACGTGCACATCACATAAAAAGGACGCCTTCGTGGCACTGTCCTGCCGGAGATAGGCTTCTGGTGCAGAACCAGAGCAGGGATAAAGATGGTAGTTTAACTTCCAGCAGGAAGGACTGAACGATTTTGAAAGCAGTTGGGTGAGGTATAAGTTAGGCACCTTTAAATAAAACTACCCTGGAGGAATTGTTACTGAGGTAATTGTTGCTGTAATAAACACTAAGACCTTGGAGGGAAAACAGTGCTGGCCTAACGAAAATCAGACATCAACGCGCATAGAAATGGTACTGCAATGCCTCTCCTTTCTAAAATCCCTTTGGTTGGTTTCCATGGAAATCTGTAGTTTAAATGTGCTTTTAAAAGTCTGTCAATGTGGAATATAAAAGAGGTGTAAGAATGATTTTAAAAAATTTTGTCTTGAGAGTCTAGTTTTTCTTAGTTCTTGCTTAAATTCTGTCCTTTCCATTCCCTTATACCTTTCTCAGGATAAATACCCAAAGAAATTCCAGATGATTTGGGGAAGGAAGTGGGTGACTTAGTACAACCTCTCCCAGAGCTGAGTGTTTTATTTGCTATTTTTCCAGCTTCTCAAGTTAGAGACCTTAGGATACAGATTTCTAACCACTCCACACCACCTCTCCTCCCATACTGAGACACACAGCTCCTCAAATAGGCTTACATTTAAAATGTAAATATCTGGTATTTGGCATGTTAAGTACTTTAAAGGAAAACAAAATAGTGACTGTCTTTTCCTTGCCAAGTGTTTCCTTTGAATTCCCTGAAAAGGAAATTTTATGAAGATGAAAACAAAGCGGGAGAGGGAGAGCTTTTGGTATAAAATGACATGGCAGGGGGCAGGTATTCGGAGTTAGTTTAGTTAGTTAGTTTGTTTGTTTGAATACAGGCCAAAGGAAGCCAAGATGATATAAAACTGAACCAAAATGAACTGAGGAACAGTTCAATGAAGAGTTTAAAAAATAAGAGAAGGAAAAAAGGGGCTACAAAGAAACCTGGAAACACATTTTAGTACCAGCTTAGGAAGAAGTCCTGTGTTCTGATCCCCCTAGCCATTGCAGAGTCTGGAACTCTGGAATGGAATCCCAGAGAGAGTTCAGGGAAGGAGATTCAGATTTGGGAGTCATCCACATATGAGTGATAGTTGAGGGCATGAGAACAAAATAAGATGTCCACAGAGAATGTATATAAGAAGACTTATCAGGCAAAGGAGAGCAAAACATGGTTGAGGGGAAAGAGGAGAGAGAAGTTAAGTTGTCTACCATAGTTGTCAAAGAAATTGAGGAGCAGGTAGAAAAGAAGGAGGTGAATTTGTGGGGAAAAAATGTATGGAAGCCAAAGAATTTCAAGGGAGAGATGATTTGGGGGGTTAAATGGTAGGGCTTTTGTAACAGAACACAGTAGACAGAATGGGAGAGTGGGCTAGAAATACTGAATGTGAGGAAAGGCCATGAATTCATTTCCCCACTGGATAGTGGCTGCAGAAAGTACACCATAGTAAGCATAAACAGGGATCCACGAAAGTGGGCCTTACCCCCCATACCCATTGTCCCCACCCTCATATCATCTCTTATCTCCATTACCTCAATACCCTGAAACTTTCTAGTCTTAATCAAGAAACCAGGATAAATAAGATGCAGGGGAATAAAAATTCCCCACAGGGCTAGTACACAGAAAGAAAGGTGCCCGGGAAGGGGTTGGATGAAGAAGAATACTACCAGACTAGCAGACAGGTGTATGGAGCTAAATGAAGGATAAAAGAATGAAACACAGTCAGACATGGAAACAACCTAAATGTCCATTACAGATGAATGGATAAAGAAGATGTAGTGTGCATGTGTATGTATGTGTGTGTGTGTGTATATACCTTTAAAAAATGAAATAATGCCATTTGTAGCTACATGGATGGACCTAGAGATTATCATACTAAGTGAAGTAAGTCATAAAGACAAATACCATTTGATATCACTTATATGTGGATGCTAAAATATGACACAAATGAACTTATCTATGACACAGAAACAGACTCATAGGCATAGAGAACAGACTTGTGGTTGCCAAGAGGGAGGGATGGATTGGGAGTTTGGGACTAGCAGATGCAAACTATTATATATAGAATGAATACACAACAAGGTCCTATTGTATAGCACAGGGAACTATATTCAATATCCTATAATAAACCATAATGGAAAATATGAAAAAGAATTATATATATAGGGACTTCCCTGGTGGCTCAGTGGTTAAGACATCACACTCCCAATGCAGGGAGCCGGAGTTCGATGCCTGGTCAGGAAACTAGATCCTACAGGCATGCTGCAACTAAGAGTTCACATGCCACAAATAAAGAGCCTGTGAGCCGCAACTAAGGAGCCTGCCTGCCACAACTAAGACCTGGCGCAACCAAAAAAATAAATAAAAGAATATATACATATATATAACTGAATCACTTTGCTGTACAGCAGAAACTAACACAACATTGTAAATCAACCATACTTTAATTTTTTTTAATTTCTTTAAATTAAAAAAAAAAGAAATAGAGTCAGGAAAAAAGCCAAACTTGTGAAGTAAAACATGTTTTAAGCTGAAGTAATGAGGCAGGGTTTAAATGGTAGAATAAAGAGTGAGGTTAAGGATTCAGGAGTAAAGGAGCAAGGAGTGGAATGAGTGAGAGGATAGTTCAGAACACTCCTTTAATGCACCAATAAGAAGCATGCATCAGGATATTATTAACTCAACATCTTTAACGTTCAAAAACTAAAGTCATTTCTGCTGCCGAATATCTTCTGTTGCCTCTCCAGATCCACTCTTCACCCTTCTCCACCCTGCTCTGCTACCCAAAACCCACGTGAACTGCACCAAGTCCTATGACTTCCTGCATTTGGTCCATGGGGGAGGGGCACTGACAGGAAATTGGAAGTCTGCAGGAGACTGAGGTTGGAGTATTTTTTCCCCAACTGCCTCTGTGTCAGGTGGGTACAAGAGGACCAACTCCTTCTACTGAAAGCCACAGATCTGTTTGGGGCTATAGCCAACACTGTGATGCACCACCCAGGTTTTCCTTCAGGAACGAGGACTTATTCCATGGTACTGGGAGTACTGCCGGAAGATGACCTTCAGCTGTCAGTACTTGTAGGGGTTGCCTCAGCTGAAGAAAGTTGCCTTGCCCAAGGTTATACCTCCTTCTGGGGGCATCCTACATCCAGTGAGTGATCAACACTGGGGTATAAAGGCCCAGCCAGCCCTTTTGTCCTGACAAGACTCATTCATCCCAGCTCTAGAGCACCCCCAGGGGTTGACTGAGAATTTTGTTGGACTGCATTGCCATTCAGTTTCTCCCACAGCTTAATCCTGCTTCCTTCTCCTCCCTTCCACAGGTATTGGTCCCAAGAGCATTCCCCTGAAAATCTCAGTAAACATCCCGAATGCTATTTCCATCTCACAGTTGAGTTCCTAGGGAACCAAACATGTGACAAAGCCACTCTCCACATAGCTACCCTCTGAGAAAGCCCAAACTGACCTATGGGAGAAACTACATGGAGAAGCCTCCAGCCTACATGAAGAGGTGAGAGGTACCCAGCCAGCCCTCAGTTTCTCCAGGCCCCACTGTTTCCAGCTCCAGCCACTGTCTGATTGCAACCACATAAGAAATCCAGAGCCAGACCACCCAGCTGAACCTGTTCCCAATTCCTGTCCCACAAAAACCATGAGAGAGAATAAAATGATCATTTAAACCTCTAAATTCGGAGTTGTTATACAGCAATTGTAACTTGAACAACCCCCTCGATCACATTTTTCTGATCAAGACTCACTAGTGCCCTTTTGCTCTGTACTGGTGATAGTCATTCTACTCTTTTTAGTTGTTTTGCTTATGCTGTTCTTCTACTTTAACCAAAATGATTTTTACCTCCTCTGAATCCTTAGGACTTATTAAACGTATTCAGCGTTTTTCCTATGCTGCCTTGCAACGTCTCATATGTGTTATCTAATTCAAGTTTGCCCGACCAGATTGGAATTTCCTAGAGAAAAACCAAGTCAGTAACTTGGCTTCCTCTGGCATCACTCACAGGCCTTAGCACAGTGCTGAGCACACAGTGGGTACTCAAGACATGTTCAGTAATTGATTATGTCTCAAATAACTCTGAGATGGAAGTTTAAATTCATACTCCCACTAGGAAATACAGAGTTTGGTTGATGCCTTCTTGAGGAATAAGTAATAGGAGCTAAGGATAACTGCAAACTTCTCTTCCTCTTAACTTTTTACCTTTCCGTTTTCCAAACTAGTTAATTTGCAGTCTCAAGACAAAACTAAGCTGGTGCAACTAATGCCAGTGCATTTTCTCCAGAGTTCAGATTGATTTAGAACCACGAGAAACTTTTCCTACCCATACCTCTGAGAAATCCCAGAAAACCATCCAACAGGGTCACTACTGCCCCTCCTGGCACCAGGATAGATGATCAATACTCAAAGAATATGAACAATTCTACAGGCTCACTGTGCTAATATTCGGTGAAAAGCTTCCAGGTCAACACCCGCCAAGGCAAAGTAAGTTGTTATATTTGTA